CAGCTGGCAACGCGATCACCACCCCACGAGCGTGGTACGAAGTGCTCTCGACCGTAACCCACTTGTCCGCCACAGCCGCCGCCGCGCCGCCGAGGGGGGCCGCACCAGCCCCCGGGGCAGCGCCCGCGGCGACGAGGGCCCCCGGGCCCGCGGCCGCCACAGCACCAGGCACAGGATCCGCAGCGACCAAGAACTCCGCGATCGGCTGGAGGCAGCCCTGCGGATGGGGCACGAACGCCACTCCGGCCAGGTTCGCCTCATTCGCGAGGATGTCCTGGCACACCTGCTCCGCTGCCGTGGTGAAGGCGACCAGCTCGGCCGCGGTGGGGTCCCGCCTGAACCGATGGGTGTTGTTCCGGTCCAGGCCGGGCGGGATCGCCCGGGTGGCACACATCCTGATGCCCTGGATGTCCACGCAGGCCCCCGAGTAGTCCTCATCGTACACGTCGGCCTGGGCCGTCGCGACGACCAATCGGTATGGTTCAGTCGGACGTGCCGCCGACGGCCGCAAGCGCCCCAACACCCTCCGCTGGTGCCAGAGCGGCGCGCCGGCGTACTGTACCCACGCCCACGGGAGGACCTGTTGCGCCGCCATGACGAGGGCCTCTGGCTCCGCGGGCTCCCAGCCAGCTCGAGCACGCCCCGCGCAGGCACGAGCCCGCGCCGGTGCCGATCACGATGCCGACGAAGAGGGCGAGCCCGAAGACACTCACCAGGAGCACCGGCTCGAACCAGCCGCTCGGCTCGGCCAGGTGGCTGTCCCCGCCCGCCGGAGACTCCGCCGGGCAGGACGGTGCCGGCGCCCCAGGGCACGCTGGGATGGCCGGACAAGCCGGGCAGGGCGGGCACGTGCACGACGGACACGCTGGCGCCGCAGGGCACCGGTTCAGCCACGCGATCGAGACCTGGGATGCGTAGCCCAGATATGGCGCGAGGGCGCTGAGCATAGGGAAAAGAGGGGCTAGATTTTTGCTTGAAGCCAGAACGATTACGGAGAGAGAAGCGGCCCTCACGTCACACTCGCCAGAACAATAGCATGTGAACAAGCGTCAATATATGCATTGTACCCTTCCTCGTCCCATTCGTCCCTCTCTTCATCAACTTCCCTCTCTTTCCTTCAACTTGAGTCCTCTTCCCTCGCCTCTCTTCTCTCCCCGCACGCTGGAAGAACTGCTGCGAGGGCTGCCGGACACACACACACACACACACCACACACACAGACACACAGACAGACAGACACACACACACACACACACACACACACACACACACACACACACACACACACACACACACACACGCACACACACACACACACACACACACACACACACACACACACACACACACACACACACACTTTTGGGGCGGACGCCGACGTGGGGCGGGCCGACCGCCGAGCGGTCTGAGCGCCAGTTCCGTCCAGCGGAGCGACCCTATCCACAGAGGATGGGACCTTGGGATGGGGTTAGGGGGAGGTCTTCCTCTGCCCCATCCCCCGTTCTGCCTCCCTCCCTCCCTCCCTCGCTCCTGATCCCAAAGCACGAGGGAGTGGAAGGGATGGTGGTGGGATGTCGGGGATGGGGGATGGGCGATAGAGGATGGGAAATGGAGGGAGAGGTGGGGATTGGGGATGGAGAGGGGGAGGTGGCGGGATGGGGATGGGAGATGTCGAGGAGGGAGTGGGGGACGAGTTCTGGGAGAGAGCTCGGGGTGGGACGGATCTGGTCGTAGCAAGGAGCTCGTTCAACCCACCGCCAACTGACAGCTGAACGCGGCAGGAGTGCTCGCTACTTTCCTCCGAGGCCTGGATGGCGAGCTCCCCCCCCCCCTCGCCGCCAGTGTTGGCCCCCAGCTTCCGCACCAGAGCCTCCCGAGGGTGGCGCCTGGGCCGCCTCTCGGCGGCGCTGCCCGGGCCCCCGCGCGGGGGTGGCGGCGCGGCCCTGCCCGGCCACCCGTAGCCGACGTGGCCGGCGTGCCGTGCCGTGGCGGCGGTCCTTCCGCGACCTGCGCCGCGACCCGCCGCTCGACTCGCCCGCCGACCCGCCGAAGGTCAGAGGAGGCGAAGGTACCCCTAACGCTGCCCTTCCCTCGCTATCCCCGTTTCGGGACCTCCTGGGAGGCTCTCGTCACCACCGCTGTATTCGCCTCGAAAATCTGATCGGAACGCACCCCGGGAGAGGTCTGGGGAGTGGCGGTATCGGTAACTTTAGGCTTCCACGAGAGAATACGGCTGCGACCCACCCAACCTTCTGCAACAGGAAGTCGGCGCCCGCATCGGGCTCGTTGCGCCATCCGCTCACAAGTACACGCCTGCGGAGAGTTTCTTCAGATTTACATCCGAGCCTCGCAAACTTGCCGACTACCACCCCAGCCCGCTCGTTCTCATCCGCAACTGCGGCGGCTGTGGTACTTCATCGGCTGCAGCATCACATCGGTCCCTAGTTACTTCGCCCATACAGTGGGCGGCCCTCATCTTCGTCGTCCTGCGCGTCCCCGTCGACTGCTGCCCCTGGCACCGCCATGCAGAATCGCGGCGTATCGTTCGTCCTCCTTCCAGGCCACGGCTCAGAGCGTGAGCTTTTGCCGATCGCAGCTTGGCTCGTGTGGTGCTCCTGGTTTGCTTGCGGCCCTTTTGATTCGCACAGCGGTCGAGGCCGAGTCGGGTGAAGCTCTAAAACAGGGCTAGGATCGGGATAAATCGCTCCAGAGCGTTCCGGAGCTCTCTCAGAGCGTTCCGGAACGCTCTGGAGCGGCCGCGGCGCCCAATGCATCCTCCATACCCGCCGATTCTCAGAGATTTCGAGTTATCCCGATCCGATTTTGTCCCGATCTTCGCGTCGTTTGAGCGCTCCCCCCTCCTCACAGAAGCATGCCGGGCCGCGGCGGAGGAAAGCAGCGACGAGCCACAGCCAGGGCGGCGGCGGCGGCTCCGCGGGCCACCCGGCGGGCTGGACCCGACACGCCCAGGGTGCATCTCGAATCGATCGGTCCGATCTGATCTCGATCCGAGCTGGTCCGATGCGATTCGACTGCCCGGGCCCCCCCCCGCCCTCGGGGACCCGCCCGGGCCCACCCTCGGGGACCCTCCCGGGCCACCCTCCCGGGCCACCCTCCCCGGCCTACCCTCCCGGGCCACCCTCGGAACCCCACCCTCCCGGGCCACCCTCCCGGGCCACTCTCTCGGGCTCCACCCTCGGAGACCCCACCCTCCCGGGCGCCACCCTCCTGGGCGCCACCCTCCCGGGCCACCACACGGCAGGGGCGAGGACCGGGGCAGGATGTGCCAGAGAAGGACGGCGACGAGCAACAGCCAGGGCAGGAGTTGCCACCCTGGGTGCGGAGGTCGTTGTTTCTGGGGGGGAGAAGCACACAGAGGCACAATGCATGGTCGAGTCCCTCGAACATGAGGGAGAATCTGGGAAGTGGGGGGAAAGCGAGCACAAATACAAATAGATGAAAGGCGGTCGGGATAGATGGGGTGCGCCACGGGGATGGCCTCTTGCCTCGGGCCCGCCAGCTCATTCGGCCCAGCTGCCGCAGTGTTCCCAGCAGCACCACGGGTCGAGGCAGCCTCCTTCCCCGCTTCCGGTATCTTCCAGGGAAAGGGGGAGGGAAGGGGGATGCTGTGCGCTTCGGCCGCAGTCTTCCCCGCGCGTGCCAACTTCGAGGTTGGGGGAGCGGGGGCGTGTCCACGAATTGTTGCCCTCTACCGCCGCTCGGACGTCCATCCCAGGGGGGCCTACACTGGCGGCGAGGGAGGGGGGGGAGCTCGCCGTCGCTCGGACGTCCCTCCCCGTGCCTTTGCGGCGTCGTGCGCATGTGTTGCTCGCAGGGTGCTCCCATATGTGCTCCTCGATGGCCCTTGCCGAGGAGGCAAGCACGCGTCCGAAGCAAGCACACGTCCGAGCGATGCCAGGGCGAAGCGGGAAGGAGGAAGCCCTCTCGGAAGGCGGCGGGGCTCCGCAGAAGCCCTCCGACCGTCTGAGAAGTCGTTTTTTTCTGTGTCCTCGGGGAAGGCTCAGGCAAGTTCTCAAGAAGGCCGGGGTACTGCCGAGCCTTGCGGGAAGCCCCCGCCCGTACTGCCTCCATTCCCCCAGGGCTCGCCGCCAACGTAAAACAGATGCCCGTGTGCTCAAAGAGTGGAGATCTTGACCTCCACCTTCCAGCGCTGGTCTAGAGGGAGCCCGCCCCGCCCAGAAAAAATGCGAGACCCGCTGCGGCGACGGAGGAATGTGAGACGGGCCAAGGTCAGCACCATGGGGAGGAGGGCGAGGATTTCGGTGAATCGTAACCCGCCAGCCGAAAGAAGGATGTAGAAACATGACGCAGGAAGGCAGGTCAAGTGGATTGGGTTCGGACCCGCTCAAGGAATCCCCAAAGGAAAACAAAATACCGATTCATGAAGTACGAAGGCGCTTGAAGTAGATTGGGATCTGGGAAACCAAAAAGACCTGCTTTCAACGACTGGCGGGTAAGGATGCACCCCCTCTTCACGGAAGCATCTGGCAACCGCTGTGGAATTGTTGCATCTTCTGCGGGGCCCCATCTCTCATGGAGTTCCTTCCATGTAGCGTTAGGTCGGACGTGTCCCCCTACAGGCGGATTTTGGCCAACCAACAAAAGCAAACACATAGTCAAATAATCGTCCTCATACGATTTTTGTCTAGTTTTGAATATTCCTCCTGTAGAGGGACAGGCCCGACAACAAACACAACCCTGAGACCGCAGGACGTACATATTATTTTTGGTGTGGGCACGTGACGCTTTCCATCGCAAAACCATCGGAGCCCAAGAAACCCAGGGCACCCTGGAGGCAAGCAGAGTGTCTCTTGGCATGGACCTCGTCTGTATCTAGTGATCGCAGGCTGCTGCCAGAGTGGGAGGAAGGAGAGGCGGAATGGGAGGAGGAGGAGGATGAGAAGGGCAGGAGAAGAAGGGAGGAGGGAGGAGGAGGAGGAGGAGGAAGGAGGAGGAGGAGGAGGAGGAGGGGTGCGGGCCTGCTTTCGGACCTTCTTGTTGCCGCCCAGACCCACGGCGTGCACGCCATGATGGGAGGCGTAGCCCGCGCACGCGTAGCTCGCGTGGTCCTTCGGGCGATCGCTCTCAGCCTTCTGCTAAGTCGGTCACGTCCCTCGGCAGAAGGGATCTCTAAAATCAGTCACACCAATAGTCAGGGGACAATTTGTTTAAACTTATTTGATTTATGTTTGAATATGTGTTGGGTACTTCTCATTGTTCGTCCCAAATCCGCCTGTAGGGGGACATGCCCGACTTAAGCCTTCTGCCCAGTGCCGCCCGATCTGAACCCAATGAATCCAGGGGCCCGATGGATTCCCTAAAGAATTCATCGGGCCCATGGATTCTCATACATGTATCCAGGGGCCCGATGGATTCCCTAAAGAATTCTATGGATTTCTTATGGGACCTTATCGATTTCCTCAGGAAACCTGCACATGTCCTAAGGAATCTCAAGGTTGTCCTAAGGAATCCGATGGATTTCCTCAAGGATCCGATGGATGGCCTAAGACATCCTATGGATTTCCGACGGAATCCGATGGATTGTCTAAGGCGTCCGATGGATGTTTCTAGGAGCCCATGGATGTCCTAATGGATCCTATGGGTGACCTAAGGAATCCGATGGACATCCTACGGAATAATATGGATGTCCTGGGGACTCCTGTTAATGTCCTATTGCCGAAGGGATCCGATGGATTTCCTGAGGAAGCCGATGGATTTCCCAAGGAATCCTTGGGATGTCTAACGGGTTCCTATAGATGTCCTAAGGAATCTGATGAGTTTCCTACAATATCCTCTGGATTCCCTTCGGAATTCTGTAGAATTCCACAAGGATTTCTATACATGTCCGAAGGGATCTTATGAATTGCATCAGGGATCCGACATATTCCCAATCGAAACCTGTGGATTTCCAAAGGAGCCCAAAGGATTCCGTAAGGAATCCGATGGAATTACTTGGGATTATCATGCATGTCCGAAGGACGGATTCTCACTGGAATCCTATGGATTCCCTGAGAAGGAACCCGATGGAATTCCACAGGACTATTGTTGATTTCCCGAGGAATCCGGTGAATGTCCTGCGGGATCCGATGGATGTCTTAGGAATCCGATGGATGCCCTAACGAATCTCATGGATTCCCTAACGAATATCATCGAGTACCTCATGGAACCCTATGGATTTCGCAAAGAATCCCATGGATTTCCTAAGGAATCCGGTTGATTGGATTCCTTAGGAAATTCGTACGGTTCTCCTGAAATCTACCGGATTCCTCCGGACATCCGTAACATTCCTCAGGAAATCCATAGGATCCCTCAGAAAACCCATCAGATTCCTCACGAAATCCATAGGATTCCTGCGGAAATCCATAGGGTTCCCGACGCAATCCATAAGGATTCCATACGAAATTCATAAGATTCCTGACGAAATCCACAGGATGCCGTAGGACATCTATAGGGGCATCCATCGGATGCCTGAGGAAATCCATAGGATCTTTTCCAAGAAATTCAACGGATTCCTAAGAAATGCGCAGGATACAGGAAATCCACAGGACTCCTTAGGACATCCATGCGATTTCTTAGGACATCCATAGGTTTCCTTCGGATCTGCATAGGATTCCTTAGGAATTGCAAGAGATTTCTGGGCAATTGGATGGGATTTCTTAGCAAATCAAAAGGATTTCCTAGGACATAAGATTTCAGAGGAAATCACTAAGAATCCCAAAGACATCCAAATGTATTCCTGACGGAATCCATCGAATTCCTCTGGACATCTATTGGAATCCTTCGGGCATGCCTCGGATTCCATACGAAATAAATAGGATTCCTATGGAAATCCACAGGGTTCATTATGACATCTTTGGGAATTCCGCAAGAAATCACTCGGATGCCTTAGGACATCCAAGGGTCTCCTGTGGAAATGCACAGGATTTCGGAGGAAATCCATTCGACTCCTCAGGAAATCCATCGGATCCCTTCGGACATCCAAAGGAACCCTTCGGATATTCAAAGGATTCCTTAGGACATCAACAGGATCCCTCAGGAAAGCTATAGGGTTCCTAAGGCAATCCATCGCAACTTCGACTCGCAACTGCCCCCCGCGATAATCAAGCTCGGCCTTGCCGCCCTCTTCACCGACCAAATCTGTACTGGCCAGGGATCTTAATCTCTCGCCTGGGAAGGGGGGTGCCGGGGTGGATGAGTTCATATCTGGGGGAGGCGGTTTAAGGAGAGGAGGAACATGAGAAGAGGGTGAGGAAGAGGATCGCAGGCCCGATCCCCGCAGCGCCAGGAGACTGCGCCAGCGCGGCGACGTCTCGAAATGAGATCTCCTCCATCCGTCATATCTTTTCCATGCTCCCTCTTACTCCTCTTGCTCCTCCTCCTACTCCTCCTCCTCAGCCTTCTCTTCCTCCTCCTCCTCCTCCTCCACCTCCTCCTCCTCCTCCTCCTCTCCTTACTCCTCCTATGATGTGAGGCCTGCGTGGCCCTGGGCGAGAGCCGAATTAGCTCACGTGCTGGGCGTAAGCGGGGCTTGAAGATGCATCGCGAACTGGCCTCCCCCATGAGCACCGTTCAACCAGCCCCCATCCCCGCCGGCGTGGCCTGGGCCCCGCTGGCCGATTGAATGCCCCAGATGGAGACATGGGCCGTTCCCTTCGGGCTTCGGAGGGTATACCCCCCGACTGGGGTGCTGAGATGTTGGGGGCCTGGATTGGGATGGGAACGGGGACGGGGATCGGTTGAACGATAGTTGCTGACCCCATGGGTTCCAGGAAGGGGGGCGGAGGTCCAATCAGGGCCCCTCGTGGCAGCCTGGCGCGGCGCGCCGGGCCACCAGAGACTTCTGGGGCGGCGCGCCCTGCGAGGTGGCATCCACGGCGCCGTGCCCCCCCCCCCAACATCCGCGCCCCGGCTTGGCCTGCCTGCCATGACCCTCCTCGGAGCGAGGGGTGGCAGGGGGGGGGGCGAAGCGCAGGTATTCCGCCCGGCTCTCCTTGTCGTCTTCCTCGGCCCTCTCCCGCCCCCCTCCTTTTCTGCCCCCCCCCCCATCCCTTTCTCCCCCCCGTCCTCTTCCCCCCTCCTCCTTCCTCCTGCCTCTTCCTCCCCTTCCTCCTCTTCCTCCTCATCCCCCTCCTCCTTCTCCTCCTCCTGCTCCTGCTCCTGCTCCTGCTCCTGCTCCTGCTGCTGCTCCTGCTCCTTCCTCCTCCTCTCCTCCTCCTCCGCCTCCTCCGCCTCCTCTCCGCCTCCTCCGCCTCCTCCTCCTCCTCCTCCTCCTCCTCCTCCTCCTCCTCCTCCTCCTCCTCCTCCTCCTCCTCCTCCTCCTCCTCCTCCTCCTCCTCCTCCCCCTCTGGCTTTTGCTGCTCTCGCCCTTTTCTGTCCTCCTCCCCGCATCCCTTCTCCATCCGCCATCCGCGCACGGACTCGGCCTGCCTGCCCCGGCCCTCCTCGGAACCAGGGGTGGTGGGGCGGGGGCGCCGAGGCGGAGGTGATTACGCTCGCTTCTCCTTGTCGTCTCCCTCAGCCCTCTCCCCTCCCCTCCTTCCTTGCCCCTGTCCTCTTTCCTTCCTCCCTCACCCCCTCCCCCCTCACCTTCCCGTTCCTCCTCCTGGATGGGGGTGGGCGGCGGGCGGGGGGGCGCGGGGGGGTGGTGCTCTCGGTTGTGCCCTGGATCTCTCGGGCTTGTCGAGCGGGGCAGGGTGTTGATCCTGATCTTTCCTGCTTATGTTGTTTCCCTCTGGCGATTGCCCGACCTGCCCAAGCTTCTCCGGCGGGGGATGGACGTGGTCGCTGCTGCCACCCGGCACGGTGAAGTGAAGCGAGGCGATGCTTGCGCCTCCCTCCAATCCCTCTCCACCCTCTGTCCTACTGTGTCGACCAGCCCGCGTCTTCCGGCTCGTTCCGCCTTGCCGCCAGGCGGAGGAGCGTGGGCTGGGGTTTGGGGGTGGGGTGGCGGTGGTGCTGGGGTCCGAGGCAAGCGTTTTGCTTCTCCGCCCGACGCTTTTCTGCCGCAAGGCCTTCTGTTGGCCCGAGCCTCCTGAGGCTGGGGCGAAGGGGATGAATGCGGCTGGCAGGAAATCGGGATGGGAGCGGATTCGGCAGTCACCGCCTACCACGCAGGCAGACCGCAGTATGCCTCGCAGGGACTGGCTGAATGACCCCTGGGGAAGATCCATTTTGAAGTTCTAGCTCAGCATCATCTGTGCGAGGTCCGCGGGAGCAGCCTGTTTCCTCAAAGGCCACCCTCCCCGTGGCCGAATCTTTCGAGCGTGAGCTCAGGACCACACCCTGCGGCACGCACGATGCCTCCGTGCCCGCGTGCGGAGGCGAGCTCCGAACTGCTGCGGCGGAGCACCGGGAAGTCTGCAGCGAACGGACGCGTGCACACCGAGGAGAGCAGCCTTGAAAGAGGCACCTCGCTTCCTGGCCAGCTCCTCTGAGCGGCAGGCCGCTCGGGGAGGGGGTCTGCCCCCTGGGGGGGGGCCGGGGCGCGGAGGCTGGGCAGGCGCGGGGCTGGGGGGGGGCTGGGGCGCGGAGGCGGTGCAGGCTCGGCCGAGGAGGGCCGCCCTTCCTGGCTGCCCTCTGGTCGCGATGCACGGCCCACGGGGGGGCGCCAACCAGCTCGTCCACGCCCTCGTGCCGCCCTCTCCGTCCGCCGCGCCGCCGTGAACTTCCCCGAGCTGGCGCAGCACGCTGCACCAGTTTGCGCATGCGGGACGGGGAGCTGTGCCATCCTGGAGCCTCTTCTTCTGTCGTATCCTCCTCCTCCAGCTCCTCCGCCTCCGCCGCCCCCCTCCGCCCCCTCCGCCTCCGCCCTCCTCCTCCTTCTTCTCCGCCGTCCTCCTCCCCCCCACCGTCCCCCTCCTCCTCCTACTCCGCCGTCCCCCTTCTCCTCCTCCTCCTCCTCCTCCTCCTCCTCCTCCTCCTCGTCTCCCGTCCTCCTCCTCCTCCTCCGCCGTCCTCCTACTAGTGGCCGCTCACCCGCGGAGGGGGGCGGTCCTCGCGCTCTTCGAGCGCCGCCCGGACGTCCTCGTACGCCGATCCCCCCCATTGGGGAACCCCACGAAGGCCCAGACGGGTCCTCCGGCGCCTCCACCCCCAAACCCACTCCCATACAAAGGAGGCCAATCCACATAATACCTTCCGCAAGAAACCCAGGGCACCCTGGAGGCAAGCAGGGTGTTTCCTGGCATGGGCCTCCACTGTAGAGTAAGGAAAAACGGCATGGACATAAACCTTGGGAGGCCCGCGCGGATCTCTTGGATCTGGGCCAGACACCCCCCTCCCTGGCGCGCGGCGCGCGCCAGGGGCGGCGCCGGAGGCGCCGCTGGGGGGGCCCATGATCCAAGAAATCCGCGCGGAGCGCCAACGCTTCATGTTACGCCGTGTTTTCTTCTTCGGCCAAAACCCACTCTCAACTCAGCACGATCCCTTTCTCTAGGGCGACGAGATCTATGCATATCCACTGCTCCCGGCCAGGCCCATCCTGGGCCCAGGAGCGGTGTATATGCCTCCCTGGCCAAGCCAGGAGGGCGTATACACAGCTCTTGGGCCCAGGATTGGCCTGGCCGGGAGCAGTGGATATGCATAGATCTCGTCGCCCTATTTCTCCAGACCTCCAAACGTCGCGGAAACGACTTGAAATGGTTGGGGCTGCTTCTGGACTCCGGGCGAGCGAGATACCGGTCCGGGACACAGGCCCAAAGCACAATGGTCGAAAGCTCTAGGAGGGGCCGCTTTGCGAACAACATCACATCGGAGAGTTGGATACTGTTCACCCCTTTCGGGGGCCCATGGGACTTTTGGGCGAGCAACGACATATGTACATGTACGCCCTCCGCGGTCTTGCCTGCACGAACGTCCGCGCTGACACGCACTCCGTGGGAAACTAACCGCGTACGTGTACATATGTTGCTGGCCTCTGAACTTTGCTGCAGCGGGGAAAAAGGCGAGGGTTGTGGAGAACGGCCTGCTGCAGGGTACGCGAGGGAATGCAATGCCAAGGAAACGCAACTTGAGAACCACAACCGGCGGTCCAGCTCGCGGCAGCGCGGGAAAATTCTGGGGAAACCAAAAGACACCTATATCGCTACTCTGCGAAACCTCTCCTGGGGTGCGTTCTAGCCAGAATTTCGAGGCGAATCCAGCGGTGGCGACGAGGGCCGCCCAGGAGGCCCCAGAAGGCGAAAACGAGCGAAGGGCAGTGGCATGGGTACCGTCTCCTCCTCTGAGATTAGGGGCGCGCGTTGGAGAACCACAGAGGGGGCTCTGGCAAACCAGCATCAGCTGTTGGATTGCTCCATGCAGGGTCGTCCTCGTAGGTGCAGTCTTGTGCACCTGGAGAGACCAGCCACAAGAAGTTCATGCCCTCGCTGACGAGGTGGTGCGCCTTGGCGTCCTGGTTCCAAAGAACCAGCCTTAGCTGACGCGAAATACGGCTGGATCTAGGACAGAAGAACATGTTTCAAGAACATGAGATCCTCCGCCAGGTTAACCGAATAAAAAACATTCGAGGGTACCTCCCCGAGGATGCACAACAATATCCAACAAACACGAAGAACCTTAGGCTACCCTCCCCGAGCCGACCTCGACCTGATACCTCGGTCTGGCCGTAGCAAGACCACAGCGTGGGCCCCAAAGTGCACGTCTATCTCATATGCTGCCCCCGTGGTGCGATGCACCTTTCTCTCCCACGAGGGAAGCAGGAGAGGCGGCGAGTGGAGAAGAGAAGATGAGGGGTTGGGGGATGCTGGGGAAAAAAAGTGGAAGGGCGGGCGACAGGACGGCGTGTTTTTCACTGCAAGCTTGCCAATGGGTCGGAGGAATGATGAAGGCGTTGCTCAAGGTTTCCACTTGCTTCGTATGCCTATGATGGTGCCATTGCTGCGGTGAGCAACAATCAATGAAGCTCAAGACTCAAGAAACTTCACATGTTGTCTCCTGCGTTTCCCTCGTGAGCTGGCCTAGGGAAGCATGGTGTGCTGGGGGGGAAGACGGGCCGGTACGCCATTGCCGCTCTGCCTCGCGCCCGTGCTCCAACTTCCACCGCCCACTATTGAGCGGTGAAGGAGCCCAGCGACAACAATATCGCGAATGGCGTCAGCGATGTTATTGCTTGTCGCGCTCGAATAAGGCCCGAACGAGTCATTAGGTATCGGATCGGAAGCGATATCTTCTCTATTGGCGCGGATTGCTGTCGTTGCCTGCCGCGCTGGCGCGGCGTTGGTCGTTCGCCCTCCCATGTTCTCCAGCAGCGGCAAACCACTTTCAGAAAACACACACACACACACCTTCACAGATGCGCCCCCGTGCCGCTGGGCACGGAGTGGGCGTGTCCTCAGGTCCTGGGCCCAATCCTCTACAGTCGGGACGTGGACCTAAGGAACCCTAAATAAGGAACGAGGCCCCTTTGTCCCATAAGTGAACCTTCGATTTCCTGTCGAAAACATAGGGAAAGCCTGAGGCAAGCTGTGATACACTTCAGGAACGCGGAGCCCCTCCCCAACGAAAAGGGTGCCTTCTTCAGGGCCCCGACCGTATGCCTCCGCCCTCACTGCCGAGGAATCTGTCAGGGGCTCGGAGCCCCCCTCGGGCCAACTCTCCCCCCGGGCCTTGCCAAGCGTTCCCGCGTGACTGGTTCGGCCCTAGGAGGGCCCCACGACAGGCCAAGAGAGCCCCCAGAAGCCCCCAAGACCGTCCAAGATCGCTCCAAGACGCCCAAGACCGCTCCAAGACGCCCAGGATCGCTTGAAGAAGGTCCAATCGACGAACGAGCGCTCCAAGACGCCCAAGATCGCTTCAAGACGCTCATTGGTTTCACTTGGATGTTCAAAAGATTTTGGCGTTCTCGCCGACTCGGCTTCCCGACGCTCCCAGACGGCCCTAAAGGTCCCCAAGACCGCCCCAAGACCGCCCAAGAGGCCTCCAAGAGACCCCACCCCAAAACAGCCCAAGAGGGCCTCAAGACAGCCCAGGAGGCACCCAAAACTGCCCTAGATGGCCCCAAGACGGCCCCAAAGGAGCCAAAAGAGGGAACACGAACCGAGAATCCGAGCCGTCCGCCCCAAGAGGCCCCCAGGAGGCCCCAAGAAGCCCCAAAAGGCCCCAAGAGGCACCCAAGAGGCTTTAAGAGGCCCCAAGAGGCCACAACAGACCCCCAAACGGCCCCGGCCCCGAGGAGGCGCCCAAACTACCTCCAATAGAGGCCCCCAAGAAGCCTCCCACGAGATACCAAAGAACATCCAATAGGCTTCATTCCCACAGCACAGGCACGGTAGCGGGAAGGGTCGAAGGCCATTTAACCTGCTTGGCACGGGGACGGAAAGCGCACTTACTTTCAGAGCGCACGAGATCGCTGGCTCGTCCGCTCTTACACCTCTTATTGACTCCCTTCCCCTCGCTCTTGTCCTATCTCAGCCTCGGAAAGTCGCGGAGCTTTCTTTGGGCGCGTCTCTTGTTTTGGAGGGGGCCGTCGGGTCGCGTTGCGTTTTCCGCGTTTGGGCTGCCAGCTTTCCAGAACCCCGCGTTTTCCTTGCGTGGACCGCTCGTTGTCCACGCGTTGCCGCCCGTCCCTGTTCCCTGGCGTCAAGAACTTATTACGCCGCAGCTCTCTGTTGGGAGCTTTGGTCTTATCAGCTCGATTACGTCACCGCTCGCTCTTGGGAGCCACGGTGCTAAGAGCCTTTGGGAGTATGTTGGGCCTCTTGGGGGGGCTCTTGGGGAGCCTCTTGGGTGCCTCTTGGGGACCTCTTGGGGCTCTTCGGGGGCCTCCTGGGGCCTCCTGGGAGCTTCTGGGCTGCGGGGGTGAAGGGACTAGGCTGCCTTTGGCCGTCTTCGGGCTCGCTTGGGGGCCTTTTGGGGCCTTCTTGGGGCCGTCCTGGCGCCGTCTTGGGCCGTCTTGGCGCCTCTTGGGCCGTCTTGGCGCCCTCTTGTGCAGTTTTGGGGCCTTCTGGGGGGCATCTTGGGCCTTCTTGGGGCGCTCTTTGGGGCCTCTTGGACAGTCTTGGACGCCTCTTGGCCCGTCTTGGCGCCCTCTTGGGGTATTTTTGGGGCCTCTTGGGCACATCTTGGGCCGTCTTGGGGCGGTCTTGGGGGCCTCTTGGACCGTCGTCAACGCCATGAAAGGCGAAAAGCCGCATATGCTAAACATGTACGTTAGTCCAACAACGTTCCAAAACGCCCAAGATGGCCCCAAGACAGCCCAAGAGGCCCCAAAGTAGCCTCAAGAGCGCTCCAAGAGGACCCCAAGAGGGCCCAAGGAAACACACATCATTGATTGTCTGTAGTGTGTCTATGGTTTTGCGTTCTCTCGTTTTCGGGCTTCCGACGCTCCAAGATGGCCCCCAAGGCCCCCCAAACCGCCTCACGACGGCTCAAGCGCCTCCCGAGAGGGCCCCAAGACTTCAAGAGGTCGCCAAACGGCCCAATGGGCGTCCAAGATCGCCTCGCCCAAGAGGGCGCCAAGACTGCCCCAAAAGGGGCCCAAGAAGGGGGAACACGAACAGAGAATCCTCCGCCCCAAGATGCCCCCAGGAGGCCCCGAGAGGCCCCCAAGATACCTCAAGAGCCCACCTAGAGACCCTACGAGGCCCCCAAGAGGCCCAACCATAGGCCCCGAGAGGCCCCCAAACGGCTCCGAAGAGGCCGATGGTGATAGGGACAGTAAGATCGATAGTGGGAAGATGGTGATATCCATCGTGAGATCGACAGTGAGATCGGTAGTGACGTGTGTTGTGGGACCGACAGAGGGATCGATCGTGAGATCGATAGTGAGGAGATAATGAAATTAATCATGACACCGATATTGAGGTCGATCATATGACCATTAGTGAGAACAAGTGTGAGATCGATCGTGAGATCGACAGTGCGATCGGTATTGAGATAGATAATGATGTCCTCTCGGTATCCTCTCGTGGTACCGATTATGAGATTGCGACTGGGATCGACAATGAGATCGATGGTGGTATCGATAGCGCTTTCGATAGTGAAATCGATAGTGGGATCGATACTGGCATTGAGAGTGCGATCGATAGAGTGAGACTTCGGTTCCTCCCCCGAACCTTCTTGTCCTACGAAGGGTGGTCGTTTAGGTATGTGAACATATGGAGACCTGACGGGCACAATCCCTAGGCATGGAACACCTGCAACGTACAATTTCTAGGAACAAGCGACAACATATCCGCCACCAGGCCACGAGGCACGAATTGGATTATCGATGCATAAAAAGAAGTGAGTGTCCAGGTGGCCTGTTTCCCTTGACATGAAACAAACCACAAAGTGGCAGGCAGATGCGTCACAGACTCACGAAGACCTCGGCCGAAGAGCCGCGCATCGAAAATGGGGCAAGAGACGTCCTCATACAACAACTGCCCCATCATGCAAATACAGACACCGTCAGGCCCCGTAAGCCCTCCGTCTTAAGGCCATCAATATCTGGCGGCCCAGACCCCTAAACTGCGGGCTGTCCAGAGCTGTGCCTTAGCTCCCCAGCGTGCCCCCGCGCGACGGATGTCGCCGGCTAGAGGGCCTAAAGACAGGCCTGGAGGGTCCCAAGAGGCCTCCAAGATGGTCCCTGAGGAGGGGGTGGGAGCGAGGGAGGGCGAGCGAGAGGGAGGATGCAGCGGAGCGTTGCCTGATTGACGGGCGGGAGGTCGGCAGAGGCTCGAGGATGGAGGAAGGGATATAGAGAGCGAGGGGGGGGGGGGAAGGGGAAAGAGGGGAGCGAGGGAGGGCGAGCGAGAGGGAGGATGCAGACGGGCCAGGAGGGTCCCGAGACGGCCTCAGAGCGTTCCAGGGCGCCCAATAGTGCCTCAAGGTGGCACCAGAGGCTCCCAAAACGCCCTAAAGAGGCCCCCAAGACGTCGCAAGAGGGATCCAAGAGGCCCCTCAAGAGGACCCCAAGAGGCTAAAGCTTTAGCGATCTTGCCGTGTCGGCCATCCGACCCTTCTAGACGGCCCCGTAGACCCCCAAGATTACGCCAAGACTGCCCAAGGTGCGCCCAAGACGGCCCAAGAGGAGCCACAAGAGGGCCCAAGAGGCTTCCAAGATGGCCCAAAAGGGACCCAAAACAGAGAACTCGAACTGACATCTGGAGCCCTCCCTCCGGCCCAATGACCCCCGAGAACGCCAGCATGCCCCCAAGAGGCCCCGGAGAAGCTCCAGGGGGCCCCCTCAAAAGGCCCAAATCGGGGGCCCAAGAGGTCGCCGGGAGACCCTAAAACACCCCAAACCGCCTCCAAGAGGGTTGCGAGAGGCCTACGAACAGGTCTGCACAGGCATCCAAGAGGCCTCTGACCTACAACCCTGGCGCAGTGGCGGGATGGGCCGACGACCACTACCCGCCAGTCGGAAGAATCAAATGGGAACATGAAGTAGGAATACGGACCACGCAGATTGGATCTGGGCCCGTCAAGAGGACAGCAAACAACTGCAAAAAGCTTACCGATTATTCAAGTAGAAAGGCGCTTGAAAAGGATTGGGACCGATATCTCCAACATCCGCCCTTGTGCCGCCTGGCACGGAGTGGGCGTGCCCACAGGTCCTTCACCTCATCCTCCGAGCATCAGCCCTCACTCCCGAAGAGTCTTCAAGAAGCCCAGAGCCACAATTGCCAAATCCCCCGAGGCTTGGCACGTCTTGGCGCGGCTTGTCTCCGGATTTTCTCGGCGCCCAGCGGGCCCCAAGACAGGCCACAGAGGAGGGGCCCCGAGAGGGCCTAAAGGCAAGGTGGCGGGATGCGTCGCAGGCCGAAGGCCATCGGATACACACTTTCGGCGACCAGCGCGTACATGAACAAAGAGAGGCGGCACCAGCACCGCCAGGGTGAGGAGCTGCGAGGAGGAAGGGGGGTCTCTCCCCGGTGGTGTGCTCCCCCCCCCTCGTGCGAGACGTCCCAAGCCTCCAGCTCGGGGAGGCATCGTGGACCTCCTCGCTGGAGGTTGCCCCCCTGGTGGTAGAGGAGGAGGAGGAGGAGGAGGAGGGGAGGAGGAGGAGGAGGAGGAGGAGGAGGAGGAGGAGGAGGAGGAGGAGGAGGAGGAGGGAGGAGGAGGAGGAGGAGGAGGGGTGGCCCCACCTGTCGCTCGGAGGGCCGGGCAGACCTCAGGGCCCCCTCCTCCTCCTCCTCCTCCCCCTCCTCCTCCTCCTCCTCCTCCTCCTCCTCCTCCTCCTCCTCCTCCGGGGCCCACGCTCTGGACAGACGCCTCGGCGGCCGGGGTCGGGGTCCCTGCCCACGTCCCGCCCTCCCCCCTCGCAGGTTGGTGCCATCGCTGCGAAGGCTGGCATCTGAGCGGCGAAGGGTGGGTCGGGCGAAAGGGGGGGATAGCAAAGGGGGGGGTTGAGAAGAATCAGCTCACGTAGCTGATTTTCCCGGCGCCTCCCGGCGCCGGAGGCGCCCATGTATCGAGGAATGGGCCCCTCGGTGAGGCCGAAACCAGCTGCATGCAGCAAATTTCGTAACCCCCCCTTTCCCAATCCCCCCCTTTCGCCCGGCCCGAGAAGGGTGGGAGCCAATAAAAGTACGGGCAACCCGTGTGATAAGGATGCGCGAGTTCAGGATGCGAGGGCCTCGGCTAGCCACGTCGGCACTCGGCGAGCGGGGCGCGGCGAGCGGGGCGCGGCCAGCGGAAGCGGCCAAGGATGGGCCCAAGGGGGGAGGATGCGAGGGCACCGGTGGAAAAGCCGCTCGTCCGTACTATGCGGGTCGACTGTACCCCTGATCCTTTGGGAGGGAACCAAAGTTAGGAGGGCCAGAAGCACGAGGGATAAGGCACATGTTAAGGATATCCCCAAAAAACCGAAGGCCCAACTCAGGCCACAAGCTCATTGGTAATAGGGTTCGGGGTTGGAGTAATGCTCGATGACGCAAAAGGGAAGGGCCCTGCGCGAGATGGCCTAACGACCTGATGCCGCGGCTGACGTGGGCCGCCAGTGCGGCCCGCCACAGTGGAGACGTGGGCGCTCACGCGCGCCCTTGCGCGGGAAGCTTACGCACGACTGTCGGCACAGGCGGCCCCGTGTGCTTTCGTCGCTCATTTGTTCGAGTGCGAGTGGCGCCATCAAAGACTGCAGGGGTGTACTTATTGGCCAGCCGCTTGCGTGCATTCGGGGGGCCGTTTGAGCACCGATGGCAGTGATCATGATGGGGGCGATGGACGCTGTGGGCAAGCTTGCGACACACAGGAAGCTTCTCGGTCCAATTCTGGCACTGCGAAACGATGTGTACCCATCCGTTCCAAATGAGATGGACCCCTCCCTTCCCCTCCCCAGATGGTCTGGTACCGGAAATTTTCGGTAGCGATTTCGACGCACCCCGAATTTCGGTAGCGACCGGATCTTCGTTTGAGGGCGTTGAAAAAGCGGATTTCAGAACGCTCTGATACCGGTATTGGGCGCTACATTTCGGTATTTCGGTACCGACCGATCTCTGCGGAGCGCTACCGGAAATTTTCGGTAGCGGACCATCGGGGTCCCCTCCAAGTCCACCCCTCCTCAGATTGGTAATCTCAAGCTGGGCGAGAAGCCTGCTCTCGCCGCCCACGTTGATCCAGAAGACGGCGCCGTGGCCGAGGATGGGCGCACCACCCTTGGCCGTCGGCGCCATCACAGAGGGCCTCGCGACGAGGAGGAGGAGGAGGAGGACGACGAGGGAGAAGTGTAGGACGACAAGGGAGGGAGGTAAAGGGAGGAGTGCGAGGGAGACGGGGCAGAGGAAGAGCGAGGTGGACGAGGAGGGAGGAGGGACGAAGAGTAGGCAGATGAGGATGCGGACAGGCAGAGGCGATTTAGTTGTAGAAGGCGTAGGAGGACGAAACACGGGGGACGAAGGTAGGAAGAGGTGGCCGTGGAGGGAAGAGGGCGAGTAGGAGTGGGGGGGGAAGGGGTGGCCGTGCAGGGAAGAGGGCGAGTAGTGAGGGAGCAGCGCGAGCAGGAGGAGCGAGCAGGAGGGGCGAGCAGGAGGAGCAGCAGGACGCAGGAGAAGGCGGCACGACACGATCGAGGAAGCGTCAAGAGGATGAGGCTGGGCTGCAGGAGCACAAGGGAGGATCTGGAGGCCGAGGAGGCGGAGAACCCGGCGCGGGAGGAAAGACAGGTGGTGGCGGCTCGGGCACTCTGGATTTCTTAATAACCGTGGGGGGATACCCCCCCCCGGCGGGGGTCGACCTCGCCACGTCGCCGCGCCGCGACGGGGGTCGGAGCGCCTTCGGCGCGCGGTGGCTGCCCGCCACGGGGGTCGACGTGGGGCTGTCGGCGGGGGTGACGCCCCCCCCCCGACGCTTGTTAAGCAGCTCGGGGCAAGCACCGCGTGGGGCCGCGGGCACAGCCCCTTCGGCGGCACCTCCCGCTCAGGGACGGCTGGGGGGGGGGGGAGGGGCAACTCGCCACCTGTCGCGGGGGCCCAGCACCGCGCCACCGCGCCCCTCGGCCCGAGAGACTACAGTTGGGTCGGGCGTGTCCCCCTACAGGGGGATGTTGGACGACAAATGAAAATTATTCAACAAATACCCCCAACAAAAACCCAAACAGTGATCAAAACATCGACCCCATACTATGTTTGGACTATTTTTGGATATCCCCCCTATAGAGGGACATGCCCGACTTAAGCCTACAGTGGGGCCGCTGAAATAAGAAACGCTGAATAAGGAACGAAGCCCTTTTAGGCCCCCAAACCGCCTGTGTTCACGAGGGCGGCCAGAGGAACAGCCATAGAAAGACGGAAACCTGAAACCTTCTGACCCGGGTCAATCCAGAGCGGATCAGTCGGGCCTTGCAGGCTCGCGACAAATCCTGCAGGCTCCTGCACCCAAGCCTGGCTCTGCAGGATCCTGCGAGATCCGGCGCTCTGACTGACCCCCGTGTGCACGGACCCCCGTCTCTCTTGGGGAGGGCCCAGCGTACCCCCAGGACGACGTGCCCCCAGTGAGGTGCCGCAGCGGCCACGGTTCCGGCCACGGTGGGCGCCGAAACGCAGCTGTTGCGCGCCCCGAGGTGGGCCCTGAGGCCCCCTCTCCAGGGTACGTCTGTTCTGGGGCGCGATTCGGTCGGGCATGTCCCCCTACAGGCGGACTTTGGACGAATAATTAGAACTAGCCAGAAAATTATTCAACCAAAACTCAAAATACTAGAGAAATCGTTACCGTACGATTTTCCTACGATTGTCGCATATATTCCTCCTGTAGAGGGACACGCCCGACCCAAGGGCACGCTTAGCCCTCCCCTGACCCTCGAGCTCCGACTCCTCTCGGCAGCTCCACGGCACCGAGGTCGGAGGGAGGAGAAGCGATACCAACACCACCAGGGGGCCCACCTCCAGCGAGGAGGTCCACGATGCCCCCCCGAGCTGGATGCTGGGGATGTCTCGAGCGAGAGGGGGGGGCCACACCACCAGGGAGACTCCCCGTGCCTCCTCGCACCTCCTCGCCCTGCTGGTGTTGGTGTCGCCTTTCCTTGTTCCCACGAGGGGGAGGGGCTCCCCGGCACGCAGCGCAGCGGCGGCGCGGGGCGGCGCAGGAGCCACTGGCGCGAGGGGGCGGCCCCGCCCCCCAAGGCCTGGCGCCGGCCTCCGCGGGCGCCGGCGCCCGCGCGGCCGCCGCCTCGCCGCGCGCGGCGGGCGGCAGCGGCCGCGAGGGCGGCGCGGGCGCAGCCGCCGGTGGCCGCCGGGGCCCGCCCCCCGCCGCGCCCGCGGCGCAGCGCCCGGCCGGCGGCGCCCCCGCGCCGTGCGCCGCCGCCTCGCCGCCGCGCGCGGCCGGCGGCGGCGGGGCCGGCGGTGGCGGGCGCCGCCGCGGGGGCGGCCTGCGGCTCTCCCAGGGGAGGCGGTGCCCACGGCCCTCGGGGAGAAGTGGCTATAGAGGGCAGAAGATCCGGCCCATCAGAGGCACCCCGACACGCGAAGCCGTCCAGGAAGCGCACCCAGAGAAGGAATCGAACAGGGCAGGGCTGTTTAGTCAAACGCCCAGGGCCGTGCGGCAAACGCCAATTGTCGGGTCGGGGTGGTTTTTCTCGGGGGAGGCCAAAGGGGGGGCGTCCAAGAGCGGGGGGCGCAAATCATAGCCAGCGGCATGCGCGCGGCCCAGGGGGGGTGCCGAGGACGTAGTGAAACAAGCAGAGGCGCCAAGAAATCTGGGGAGATATCGTAGCCTCTAGTCATCACCCGCCCCTTGGCCGCCCGCGACTTTCCTCCCTTGATTCCAGGGGACGCGGGGGGGGCCCCGGCCCCCGGGGCGAAAGGGGAGAGAGGAGGAGGAGGAGGAGGAGGAGGAGGAGGAGGGAGGAGGAGGAGGAGGAGGAGGAGGAGGAGGGAGGAGGAGGAGCAGCAGGAGGAGGAGGAGGAGGAGGGGGAGGAGGAGGAGGAGGAGGAGGAGGGCGGAGGGAGGAGGGAGGAGGGAGGAGGGAGGAGGAGCGCGGAGGTGGGGATCGGGTCGGCTCGGCGGGGAGGAGGCGTCGTGCGCCTCTGGGGGCCCCGAGTCTCGGCCGTGTTCGTGCCCCGCCCTGCCCAGCGGCCAGAGAGCCACCGCGGCCCCAACCCGGGGATCTTCTGACCCGGGTCAGCCCAGACCCAGGTCAGTCGGGCCTTGCACGGCTGCAAGGTCCTGCAGGCTCCTGCACCCAAACCCGGGTCGATGCGACCCTGCCACTGCAGGATCCTGCAAAATCGGGCGCTCCGTTTGCACTGACCCCCGTCTCAAGGCTCCCGACCAACCGTCCACCCACCCGCCGGGGGCTCGAGAGCAGCGAGGAGGGATAGGGTAAAGAAGAATGACATAAACGTAAAAACTCGGAAGTCCGCGCGGATTTCTCGGATCCGTGCTGGACCGCCCTGGCGGCGCCTCCGGCGCCTCCCCTGGCGCGCTCCGCGCGCCCAGGAGGGGGGGGGGGTCCATCGCGGATCCAAGAAATCCGCGCGGACCTCCGAGTTGTTATGTTTATGTCATTCTTCGTTCCCTAAGGGAGGAGGCGCCGCCATCCCAGAAGGCTTCGACCCAATTCTGCCTGCAGAGAGGGGGGGAACGGCTACGCGGGGAAGAGGTCGGGGTCCTCCCTGGCGTCCCTCCAGCAGGGACGCGAGGGGAGGAGCGAAAAATGGGGGAAGATACGAGAGAGTGGAGCTGGGGATGGAGGGGGATGCAGAGGGAGGACGAGAAGCAAGGGCCCGGGAGGGAGTGTGGAGCTCCGTGCTGGTCGAGTTCCTCATCCAGCTCCTCCAGCTTCATCCTCCTTCTCCTCGGCCTCCTCCTACTTTCTCAGCCTCTTCCTGCACAACCCATATTCGTGTTCCTCTCTCGTCGCCCTCCAGATAAGCCCTGCTCCACCTCAGGTCATCGTCCTCAAAAACGCTCTCTCTCTCTATACCCTCGTCCGTCGTCCTCAGTGAGACTCGGTAATGTAGGAGGCGCAAGTCGTACAAAGCAAACCAAGGGTCCATCTGATGCCGTTCCTCCTCCTTCTCCTCGCCCTCCTCCTCCTCAGCATCATCATCATCATCATCATCATCATCATCATCATCATCATCATCATCATCATCATCATCATCATCAGCATCATCATCATCAGCAGCAGCATAATCAGAGCCCACTTTTGAAAACGAGCCGCCCCAGATCCGCCAAATTGTTTGCAAGTTTATACCTCTAGTCAGTGTTCAACTTCAAGAAGACAACGCCAAATCTTATTTTGAACAGGAGCCGCACTCCAGCCGCGTAGCTAATACACACTTTCAAGTTCCAGGCCGTCCAATGTGAAGAATGTTCGGGCGAGATCACCCTTTTGGGGAACAAGTGGCACGTGCGCTATGGCTCTTGCAAAAAAAGGAAGGGGGAGGAGGAGGAGGTGGAGGAGAGGAGGGGGGAAGAGGGGGCAAGACATCGCCCCATCGGGGCCCAGCAACGGGGCCCAAATCCCAAGTGGGCATAGGGGGGGGAGGTGGCGTGCGTCGCGACGCGGAATAAAGTGCTCGGAGCGGAGGGGGCACGGGGCGGAGGTCCCACTGGGGCGCTGGGGGCGCGGAGAGGAGGGGGGGGAGGTGGTGTGCGTCGCGACGCGGAACAAAATGGTCGGGGCGGAGGGGGCATTGGGCGGGGCTTGGGGCAGAGGGCCACGGGGCGGGGGTCCAACTGGGGCGCTGGGGACGGGGGGGGAGGTGGTGTGCGTCGCGACGCGGAATAAAATTGTCGGGGCGGAGGGGGCACGGGGCGGAGCCCCCACTGGGGCGCTGGGGACGCGGGGAGGGAGGTGGGGGAGGTGGTGTGCGTCGCGACGCGGAATAAAGCGTTCGTGGCGGAGGGGGCAGTGGGCGGGGCTCCCGCTGGGGCGCTGGGGGCGCGGGGGGGCTCGGGGCAGAGAGCCACGGCGCGGGGGTCCCACTCTGGCGCTGGGGACGCGGGACGGGGGGGGATGTGCGACGAGGAATACGTTCGTGGACGAGGGGGCGGTAGGCGGGCTCCCGCTGGGGCGCTGGGGCGGGGGAGCTCGGGGCAGAGAGCCACGGCGCGGGGGTCCCACTCTGGCGCTGGGGACGCGGGGGCGGGGGGGGTGCGACGCGGAGTAGAGTGGTCGGAGCGCCAGACACCCTGTGCAAGAATATAACCTCCCCATACCCGCATAATCGCTGAAAGATAACACATGTCACCCTATATATATGTATATATATATATACATATACATATACATATACATATACATATATGACTTGGGAATCCCGAGCGAAAACCATAGCATGAAAACAAACCCGCCCACCATCCGTGAAACAGCTGCAAGCTTCTGAAACGAACGTACGCGGCGCGAAGAAAAGGGTCTCCTTTTGACAGGCGCCCACCCTCCGCCCGGCTAGCTGTGTAGCTCAGAATGAAGGGGGGCGAACGGCCATTCACTGTCCATGGGAACTTTGCTGAAGTGGGATTCCGCGATGCTGATTATTGTTGTTGCTGGCGGTGCTGCTATTGGTGCTGTTATGGTGTTGTTGTTGGTGGTGTTGCTGCTGGTGTGATTGGCGTTGCTGCTGGTGTTGTTATTAGTGCTGTGTATGGTGTTGGTGATGTTTGGATTGTGTTATGTGTTTGTTTGTTATTGGTGTTTGGCGTCGTCTCCCCCGCGACCCACCCCGCCACCCGCCCGCGACCCACCCGCGACCAACCCGCGACCCATCCACACTGCTTGAACGAAAAATCGACGCCTGCGGCGGGCTCGTGGTACACCTTGTACAAATTGGGCGCCTGCGGCGGGCTTCTTCAGAGCCTCGCAGACTGCAGACGTCTCCGCCGCCCCCTCGCTCTTGTCCGCGACTGACGGGTGCTATGACATTGTAGACGGCGCTGGGCGAGACCCCCCGTCCACCCGTGCAGCTCCTGCAATCCGTAGACTCCAGGACGGTGATCTGTCCAGGCGGCTCACACCAGACGCAAGGCCTGGCTTCTGGACATCTGTGTGAAGGGGCCAAGGGACACACGAATATTTCAGCACAAGCCCAAGGATCCCCCATATCTCCTATATTCCATGGGCGTTCGTCTTCCCATTTCACCTCCCAGCTCGTCCATCTATTCTCAAGGGGATGCAAGATCATCTGTGTCTGTCCTTGAGTTCGCTCCTGAGTGTGGTGCGACAAGGGTTCGGTCGGGCATGTCCTCCTACAGGCGGATCACCTGCTCCAGAAAGGTGGCAACAAAAATACTCGAACCATCGTCCCCAGACGAGCTCTCTACGATGCTTGGATACCCCTCCTGTGGAGGGACATGCCTGACTTAAGACAAGGGGGGATGCTGCACCAGGCGAGGGGGCAGGGACACAGAGCAGGGGCCCACGCGGGCCGCCGCGCGCCACGCAGCACGGCGGGCGCGGTCGCGCGCCGCGCGGCCGCTCGAATCGGGGGGGGGGGCTGGGAGGGGGCGAAGGGGGTACAGTCGGGGCGTTGACCTGAGGAACCCTAACTAAGGAACGAGGCCCCTTTTTTCCATACATTGAACTTCGATTTCGTATCGAAAACCTAAGGGAAATCCAGGGCAAGCTGCGAAACAATTCAGGAACACGGAGCCCCTCCCCAACGAAAAGGGTTCCTTCTTCAGGGCCCCAACTGTACAGTGCAGTCGGCCCGGATTAGTAGGTCGACCCTGCCGAATCAAGGGTACTCCCGTGTCCCATGCATCGCGCGTCGTGTCCTCTGCAGTCCCGGGGCAAGGTGCCCTTGCTGAGGCCATGCTGCCGTCTGAAGAGGCTTCTGTCCAGTCGCGTGCCCTGTGCAATCAGTTCTGCCCGCATGGGGCCCGACCACGACGAAGCGTCCACAAGAAACCCAACCCCTGAGGACCCAGGACGTCCATAGATTGTTTGGCGTGGGAACGCCACGCTTCCCATCGCGAAGCCATCGAAACCCAAGAAGCCCGGGGCACCCTGCAGGCGAGCAGGGTGTTGTGAAGGGGCCCCAGGACACACAAATAAATAGACACACATAAAAATATACCCCATATGTTCCCATATTTTCTGGGTTTCTGTCTTCCCCCCCCACTTCCCATATTTTCCCATATTTTCTGGGGAATCGAGGATTAATTGTGTCTGTGTGTTTTTTCCCCTCCTGAAGGATGGCAGAGGTCAGGGTAGAGAATCGACTCGCGCGGCCGGGCCTTCCCGGAGCCTGGCCTCCCCGCGCCTGGAGGGGCCAAGGTATCGACGCATGGCCCAGGGCGGAGGGGCCGAAACCAGCTGCATGCAGCAGATCTCGCCCCCCCCCTCCCCATTCTCTTTCCCCCCCGTAGGTTCGGCCCCTGACTCTAACCCCTGGAGAGCCATGATGCACGACACTCTCCCGATGGGCCAGGGCACTCTGAGAACAAGAGAGCAACAACAGAGAATATCGCGCCTGAGGGGGGAGGATCAAAGAGACAGCTGCCCGAGCGGCGGCCTGCTGATGATGCTGCTGATGCTGCTACTGCTGATGATGATAATAATGATGCTGCTGAAGCAGCTGCTGCTGATGCTGCTGCTGATGATGGTGATGATGATGATGATGATGCTGATGATGCTGATGTTGCTGACGATGCTGATACCGATGCCGATGCCGATGATGATGATGATGATGATGATGATGATGATGATGACGATGATGATGATGATGATGCTGATGATGATGTTGATGATGCATCAGCATCAGCATCAGCATCAGCATCAGCATCAGCATCGGCATCATCATCAGCATCAGCATCAGCATCGGCATCATCATCAGCCTCAGCATCAGCATCAGCATCAGCATCAGCATCAGCATCATCCTCATCCTCATCCTCATCCTCATCCTCATCCTCATCCTCATCAGCATCATCATCGTCATCATCATCATCGTCCTCATCATCATCATCATCATCATCGTCATCATCATCATCCTCATCATCATCACCATCATCATCATCATCAGCATCATTATTGTCATCATTGTCATCATTGTCATCATTGTCATCATTGTCATCAGTGTCATCATTGTCATCATTGTCATCATTGTCATCATTGTCATCATCATCATCATCATCATCATCATCATCATCATCATCATCATCATCATCATCATCATCAGCATCATCATTGTCATCATTGTCATCATTGTCATTATTGTCATCATTGTCATCATTGTCACGACGGGGCAATGGGAGCACGAAGGGCCGCGGACGCCGACGGGAGCCGGGGGGTCTCCTCCTCCGCCTTCGTCTCATCCTCCTCCTCCTCCACCTCCTCCTCCTCCTCCTCCTCCTCCGCATCCTCCTGCTCACCTTCCTCCTCCTCCTCCTCCTCCTCCTCCTCCTCCTCCTCCTCCTCCTCCTCCTCCTCTCCTCCTTCTCCTCCTCCTCCTCTTTCTCCACCTCCTCCGCCTCCTCATCATCCTCCTCACGCCCGCCGAAGACAGCCCCTCACGGTCCGCCACCGAGAAGAACCCCAACAGGCCCGGATGCACGCGCCACCCCGGACGAGATGCTGGGGTGCCTGCGCCGAGCGAGGAGGGAGGGGGCCCGCAATGGGCGAGGGCGGCGGCTCGGGCAGGAGGAGCAGGGGCGGGAGGGGCGGGAAGGGGCGGGAGCGCGGACGGGAGGGAGCACGGTCCGATGCGCTCCGCGGAGGCCCGAGGCGCGACCGGGGGGGGGGGTACAACAGAGAAGGCCCGCGCCTTCTGAGAAGCAGGGGTGCCTCGAAGGCGCCGCCCCCCCTCCCCCTGGCCCCCTCGACGCGTGGCCGAGTCTAGAGGAGGTCTAGACCAAGTCCCTGGAGCCGGTTTTTTGCCACGAGTCGATTTGTTGATGGTCCCCCCCCAGCCCCCTCTGCGCGTGGCTGCGGAGGGGCCTCCCTGGGCAGCTCCGCGAGCGGCTGCGCTCGGCGAGCGCGCGGGGCGCGCTCCGCCTGCGGCGCCCGCCGCCGCCGCTGCGACTGCGACTGCGGGCGCGGCCGCGGCGCGCGCCGCTGCGGCTGCGACTGCGGCCGCGGCTGCGGCCGCGGCTGCGGCTGCGGCTGCGGCTGCGACTGCGGCCGCGGCCGCGGCTGCGGCTGCGGCTGTAGCCGCGGCCGTGGCCGCGGCTTCGACCGCGGCTGCAGCTGCGGCTGCGGCTGCTGCTTGGGCTTCTGCCGGAGCCGGGGCTGGGCCTGCTGCGAGGCGCCGCCTGCACCTGGCGCCGGGGGCAGGACTCATGCGCCGGGCGGGGAGCGGAGGGGAGGGCTCGGGGAAGTGGGGGGGGGAGGACGTCTTGCAGAAGTCGCCAGTCGTGTGAGGATGGTTCCCAGGGCAACTCGGTCGGCCAAGCAGACCATGTCCGAGAGCACGCAGCGCAAGCGCCAAACGGTCAAACAACTACCGAGGAGGGCATGGGAAGGTCGGAGCAGGGGAGAAGGGGGGCAGGAGTAGAAGAACAAACAACCACAACAAACATCGACGTCTCGACAGTCCGCGCGGAGTTCTTGGATCTGCGTTGGACCCCCCTCCTGGCGCGCGGATCGCGTCAGTGGCGGCGCCGGAAGCGCCGCCAACTGGGCCCCAGCGCAGATCCAAGACATCCGCGTGGACCGCCGTGCTGTTTTCTGCTCCGATGCCGGGGAAAGAAGCCGGGGGCAGGGGAGCAGGGGGCAGGAGGGCGCCCTCGGGCCGCTCCTCCCCCGGACGGGGACCGCGCAGCGGCACCGGCGGACGGAAGCTCGGCACGGCACGGGGGCCAGAGGCGAGGCGCGAGCGCTGGGGAGGTCGGGGCAGGGGAGAAGGCGGCAGGTCGGCGATGGACAAACCTCCCTTCAGTGAACCTCCCTTCAGTGAGATCGGCCTGGGGCCGAAGCCGACGGGCCTGGACCCGCAAGAATGACGGCCGCGACGCCCTCTCGCGAACCGAAAACGGCCAATTCGCTCATCGGCGTGTCCGAGCAGGGGGCGTCGTCGGGCCGCGCTTTTCCAGACGGGGCCGCCGCGGGGAGGAGACCCAGCGAAGGGGAGCCGACGCCGCGCGATAGGGCCGCGGGCGAGGCGCGAGGGCGCGCCCTCGCCCAGCCAGGCCTGGCCTCTTTTGAAGGGGCCCTGGGACACACAAGCGCGAGAACGCCCGTGACCAGCACCCAGCCCCTGAGCACGCCACGATTTGCGCTGGACCCGTCTGTAGAGGCCTCCCAGATGGGGTCGGAGTAGGTGGGGTCGAAGGTTCGCGCCACATCTGCGATGCATCGGCGATGCGTCCGCGATACGCGGGCGATGTCGGCGATGCATCAGCGACGCCAACGTGTAGAACATCGGGATCCACATCGAGCCGCATCGCCGATGCATCGGCGATGCGGTACGATCCTCCGACCCCATCTACTCCGATTCCATCTAAGAGACCTAGACCCGAGCACGCCACGGCTTGCGCTGGCCCCGTGTGGGGATGCAGCACTCTCAAGCCTTCCCAAGGGCGGCCCAGGGCGAACCGCGCAGTGACCAGACCGCCCATCCTCGAGGGCGTCCATCGGGTCGGGCGAAAGGGGGGGATAGCAAAGGGGGGGTTTGAGAAGAATCAGCTCTCGTAGCTGATTTTCCCGGCGCCTCCCGGCGCCGGGAGGCGCCCATGTATCGAGGAATGGGCCTCTCGGTGAGGCCGAAACCAGCTGCATGCAGCAAATTTCGTAATCCCCCTCATCGAGGGCGTCCAAGAGGGGGGCGTCCAAGAGGGGGGAGGAGGAGGAGGAGGAGGAGGAGGAGGAGGAGGAGGAGGAGGAGGAGGAGGAGGAGGAGGAGGAGGAGGAGGAGGAGGAGGAGGAGGAGGAGGAGGAGGAGGAGGGGGAGGAGGAGGAGGAGGAGGAGGGGGAGGAGGAGGGGGCGTCCAAGAGGGGGGGGGCGCAGATCATGACCCGCGGCACGTGCGCGGCCCAGGGTGGGGCCGGGGACGTGCTGGATCAGAAGGAGGCCCCGCGAGATCTGGGGAGAGAGCACGGCGCCCGC